TCCAGGTCATGATCCTGGAGTCCCAGGATCGAGTCCCGCATCGGGCTCCCTGCTCGGCAGGGAGTCTGCTTCTCCCTCTGACCCTCCCCCTTCTCATGCTTTCTCTCTCTTAAATAAATAAAATCTTAAAAAAAAATAAATAAATAAAATCTTAAAAAATACAAAAAACAAAATAAAATAAAATCTTAAAAAAAAAGAGGGGTGCTTGGGTGGCTCAGTCAGTTAAGCATCTGACTCTTGATGTTGGCTCAGCTCATGATCTCGGGGTTGTGGGATCCAGCCCTGTGTGGGGCTCCACACAGAGCAGGGAGTCTGCTTGGGATTCTCCCTCCCTCTCTCCCTCTGTCCCTCTCCCAACTTGTAGGCATGTTCATGCTGTCTCCCTCTCAAATAAACAAATCTTAAAAAAAAAAAAAAGAAAACAAATGATAGGGACTTATCCCCCAGATGTGATAATTCCAAATCAAATGGCTCAGAGAATACATACATACATACTTACATGCAGGAGCGAGGTCTCAGATTTTTTTTAAAATAGTGTAATTGAAATAAAAACACCTGTTCTCTGTAAAAAATCCAATTGCTACCCTACAGGATTTGGTATGTAATACTGAATGAAATTACCACACTCTAGAGCCGATCCCCTCCAGTCAAGACCAAAATTCAATGTCTCCAAAGAACCAAACAAGCCTGTTAAGCTTATTTGGTTCTTTATTTTACAAAAATACTAATGAACCAGGACACGATGAATAAAATTCACATTTGCTATCAATGGCTTAATGTCTAAATGCTTAGCCTTTTCAGGAGGTACAACATCTTAACCAAGACTTAGGGGGTAAGGATACCAACAGAGTAACCCTTGGCCCTCTGATTACTTCCTCATTTGCACAAATCTGGGACCAAAAAGGGTAGTTTGTTCAGTACATATTGTACTTGGAATCAAAAGATTGTGACTTATTTCATTCACACATTCGTTCATTCAACATTAGTTAAATGTTCCAGACACTGTTCTAGTAACCAAGAATACCATGGCGGGGGGGGAGGGGGGGGGCAATTGGGTGACTCAGTCAGTTAAGGGACTGAGACTCGATCTCAGCTCAGGTCTTGGTATCAGGCTCCTGAGTTCAGCACGGCTGGGCGTGGAGCCTACATTAAAAAAAAAAAAAAATACCATAGGGAAGACAGACAAGAACCTCTCCTTCAGAGAGTTTAGAGTATGCTGGAGGAAAAAAAGACCATAAACAAATAAGAAAATAAGCAAGATAATTAGCGGATAATGCAGGTAAAAAAGTGTGGATTTACTTTTTAGTGTAATGAAAAGCCACTGAGGCAGGGAAGTGAGGAGAGATCACTCTGACAGCTGTTTGAAATAGGAAAACAAGACCAGAGGCAAGGAGACCAGTTAGGAAGCTACTGCCCAAGAACTGGGGTGGTAGCAATAACAACAAAGTGAAGTAAATATACTTGAAGTGTATTTGGGGGGCGCCTGGGTGGCTCAGTCGGTTAATTGATTTCAGCTCAGGTCAGGATCTCAAAGACCTGAAATAGGGCCCCACATCGGGCTCCCGCTGACTGTGGAGACTACTTAAGATTCTCTCTCTCTCTGCCCCTCCCGGGGCTCTCACACTTGAGTGTTCTCTATCAATCTCTCAAAAAAAAAAAAAAAAAAAAGGTATTTTGGAGGTAAAATTGACAGGGTTTGCTGAAGGGCTGATTGTGCATGGGGATGGGGGAGCAGTGAGGCAAGGGGATGAATTAAGGATGACCCCTGTATTTTTCACTTGAGGAGGGTGGAGAATGGGGAGCAGAAGGGTGCTCTTATGAAATGGAGACTTCTGAGGAAGGAATGGGTTGAGGAACATAAATCAAGAGCTCCACTCCGAATATGTTCAATTTAAGATGCCTATAGACAAATGGAGTGAAGATACACACAGGCAGTAGAAGAAATCTGAAGTGCCAAGACTTAAGATGAAAATGTGAGAGTCAGGGGCGCCTGGGTGGCTCAGTCATTAAGCGTCTGCCTGCCGCTCAGGTCATGATCCCAGGGTAATAGGATCGAGCCCCGCATCGGGCTCCCTGCTCGGCGGGAAGCCTGCTTCTCCCTTTCCCACTCCCCCTGTTTGTGTTCCCTCTCTTCCCTCTCTCTCTGTGTCTCTGTCAAATAAATAAATAAAATCTTAAAAAAAAAAAAAATGTGAGAGTCAACAGCAGACAGTGGACATGAGATCAGCCAGAGAGAGTGCAAGTAAAAAAAAGCAAAGGGAACCTAAGAAACATAGTCAATGATATTGTAAATAGCACTGTATGGCGACAGATGTTACCTACACTTGTAGTGAGCACAGCATAATGTATAAATTTGTCCAATCACTATGCTGTACACCTGAAACTAATGTAACATTGTGTCAACTACACCCAAAAAAAAATTTTTTTTTAAAGAAAAAGAAGTAGAGGGAATGGGGGCACTGGGCTTAGTTGGTAGAGCATGTAACTTTTTTTTTTAAAGATTTTATTTATTTATTTGAGAGAGAGTGAGAGCGAGAGAGATCGCAGAGGGAGAGGGAGAAGAGGACTGGAAGCTGAGCTGAGAAGCTGAGAGGCTCGATCCCAGGACCCTGAGATCATGACTGAAGGCAGATGCTTAACCAGCTAAGCCACCCAGGCGCCCCTAGAGCATGCAACTCTTGAGCCATAGAGATTACTTTAAAAAAAAAAAAATAGTAGAGGTAATGGCTTGGAAGCACTAAGGCATCAGGATGTTTTTCAAATGCTCGACCCCTGAGCTATACCCCCAGGCATTAGGATGTTTTGAATTCAGGAAGAGAAAGAAAAATCAACAAAAGAGAGAGAGAGAAAGAAAATCATGGAAGTGTAGTATCCTGGAAGGTTCTGCTATATAATGTGATTCTCTAGTCCACCACCACCCTCCCAAACCTTGCAACACACACCCACTCACACTCTATAAATAAAAAGACTGAGGCCCAAAAAGACTGAGTGACATCCCCAAAGCCCCAGCTAATAGGAACCCAGGTCCAGGCCTAGAACGAAGCAAGATGTGACTTCTGACCCCTAGCCTTTTCACAGCAGCTAGCAGTGCTTCTACTGTCAAGTCACCAGTCTGAAATTAGACAACAGGAAAGATCACAATTTAGGAAAAACATAACTTACAAGGCTTAATTTTAATTTTTTTCTATGTATTCTATTCATATTCAAAAACAAGTTGGATCAAAAGCCTTTATGGATGGGTCCCTAAAGAAAACTAGGAAACACAGGCAAGAGGTACAAAATGGCTATAAATCAGTAAGCCAACTCAATTTTCTATAGTTCTAAAAACACCCTGAAGGTGGAAGACCCTCATCAGAGAATGAATCAGGGTGTGTAAAACACGGATTTTTTTTTTTAGTCATTTTTGCTTTAGTGAATACAATTTCAGGTTTTTTTGTTTGTTTGTTTTTTAAGATTTTATTTGAGAGAGAGAGAGATGAGGAGGAGCAGAGGGAGAGGGACCAACAAACTCCCTGCTGAGCTCAGAGCTCAACAGGCGGGCTTGATCCCAGGACCCTGAGATCATGACCTGAGAGGAAATCAAGAGTGGGACGCTCTTGGGGCGCCTGGGTGGCTCAGATGGTTAAGTGTCTGCCTTCGGCTCGGGTCATGATCCCAGGTCCTGGGATCGAGCCCCACATCAGGCTCCTGGCTCATCGGGGAGCCTGCTTCTCCCTCTCCCTCTGCCTCTCTCCCTGCTCATGCTCGCTCTCTCTCTCTCTCTGTGTCTCAAATGAATAAATAAAAAATCTTTTAAAAAAAGAGTGGGACGCTCAACTGACTAAGCCACCCAAGCACCCCTACAATTTTAGTTTTTAACGTTTAAGACTTTTACTTGTTTTCACACTTGCCTTCTGAAACTAAGATCTTTATCCTGACCACTCTCTCCTAAGCTACATTATCATGACCTAAACAGTTCTGCTTTTACCATAAAAATCTTACAGTGTTGCATAATAATCCCCAAATGATTAATGAACTGCTGAGAACTGACTCCTTAAAGATGATTTTATTAGGAATCTTATTTCCAAACATTCATTCAGGGCTTCAAAATAAGTACTCATCTAACTTAATTATGGTGACTTCACCAGACACTAACACTGCCCACAATGATGTTTACAAAAGCACTTGTCACTCCCTTCGGATGTAGCAATGCAAAAAAAAGAGTCTGTTTCCAGATTCCTCGTGTGTTTTATACTATGTAACAAGTGACAGTTAAGTGTCACTTAAGATTATTTAAACAGCAAAGCACTTCCAGCTTGTGTGTCCCACCATCTTCCATCCTAAGCGAATCCTAAAATTCGTTCGGTCTTATTTACCACAATTTCCACTCAGCGCCTCAGACAGGTATCCCAAGCCAGCCTTAGCAAAAGAGACTACAAGATTCTAGGATGGGAAATAATAGGATTCTATTTTGGCCCCTGTAAGAGAACAGGATTCAATATTAAGCAACTCCAGTGGAGGTTATTCCAACATCAGAGCGGTTCGGAAATAAACGTGCCCCCGAACGTACACCCGCAGCCAGGTATCAGCAATAGCTAACAAGAAAAGATGCTGCACCGGGGTTGCTCCTAATAGCCTACCACTGACCGAGCGCTGGCTGATCGGGCATGCACATCATCCCGTCCTAGCCTCAAAACAACCCTGTTAAGTACATATTATTCCCATTAACAAATCCGGATACTTGGGCCCAAGGCCCCAAGGCTAGTCGGTGGAAGCGCAGAGATTTGAAAACACGCCCGTACCCCAACAGTCCAGGACCCCCGCCCCTAAAATGCACTTCTACGCAAAAAGGCACCTGAGGGTCTGAAAGCCCCGGGGGTGTCCGCATAGGCTGAGGAGACACAGAGGGCAAGGGCGCCGCCTCTCCACAGAGGGCCCCTCAGCAACGCCACCAAAAGCGCCAGCGGCCCGGGGCGCCCGGTCGTGTCTCGGCCGCCCAGAGGCCGGGAAGTGCCTCTCACCTAAGAGAGCCCGGGGAGGGCCGCAGTTGAGCGAGGCGCCAGCGCAGGCCGGCGGACGGGTGTCCTCGGCGCCGGCAGGAAGCGCGCAGCGGGTATACAACTCAGCGGCGCTGCAAGCTGTGGCGGGCAAGAACGCGCCGCCCGCCCGCGCGGGGGCACCTTACCCGCCGCCGCGACCGCGCCGCCACTCAGCTGCGCCGCATCCGGGTCCCGCGCCGCCGCTCTCACCTGCCCTGTTCGCCGCCGCCGCCGCCGACTCCTGGCTCCGGCTACGCGGTTAGCAGCCCAGGCCACCGCGACCATCCAGTTGCGGCGCCCCCATCCCCGCCTCTCTCGGTCGCCTCCCGCCTGCCCCGCGCGGCGCTACACCGGCCCGCCACCCACAGCCATGGCCCACTCC